TAATAGCTGATATTGACAAATTCCCACAAATGCCACTCATTACAAATGTAAGGAATATTTTTCATGCTAATATTGCTCCCTCTTGCTTCCCTAGCTTTTTAAAGCCCCCTAGGCTTTTCAAAATGTATTTCATACACAGAGTCACTGTTCTGGCCTGTTTATTTAATTAAACATGACAGCCCAGCATACACAGAATTTCTTTCAGTTCCATAGCTTTTCACTTTTTTACACTTTAGTTTCAGTACAGAAAGAACAAAGTTCTTGTTTTGACTCCTTCCATGCTCTATAAGTTTATACAGATTCACTAACTTGACAGTAAAAACGGTTTTATTAATCACACTTTAAACATCTTAAACTCAAAAATGAAATTATAAAATATATGACCAAAAAATAGAAAGAAAGGGAAAAAAAAGTTTTCTTCTTTACCCCTACTAGGAAAAAATTGGATTTTTGCCTTTTCATTTTTAAGAGTTGGCATTAATGATATTGACATTCATATTTCATTTTGTCACCAAGGTGAAATAAGCTCATCAGTACTACCATCTGTAACACTACAAACAGCCTAGTACTACTAAAATATGTCCTAAGTTATGATTGAAATAAAATCATGCATGTGAATGTAAACAGGGAATGTTACCATTAATTTTCTTTTATTTGAGAAATGAAAGTTAGGACCACGGCTTAGTTTAATTTCAAAAACATTTATTGCAACAGGATCTCGTCTGTTCAGCCAATCATGTATCCCTCCTCTCCCCACTGGAAAGTTTTCCAGCTATTTCTGCTTCTACAATGTGCATCCATGCTTCAAATGCTTCCAAGTCTTGACAAAGTTTTAATTTATCTCAGTTACCCTCACCTTTTCTTAAGGATTTTTAAAATAAAAAGTTACAATATAATATGTAGCACAAACAATTTGAACTTTTAAAGATTGTTTTTTTACCTAAATGTCCACCATTATATATTTTTAATCCAAGTTCAATGAAAAATTCAGCCTCCTTTGCCTATAAATGTCACAAATGTGTGAAAACAAAGTGTACATACACAAAATGGAAAGGGGCACATGCCTCTAAATTACAATATATATTTCTGTCAAAAATCATAATTTCAGGAAAATCAATAGTATTGGAATGGAGTTTTTTTAAAAATGAAACATGAGATGTTCACTGTAATCATTGCTCTACTGGCAAATCATTTCTTTGATGCGTAAAGATGAAAGTGATATCCTTCAAACATAAAATCCAAATGTTAAAGGGATGTATTAATAAAATATTTATAATTAAAGTGCAATATATATTATATGTTTATAGGTCATGCATAACAAATTGCCTGAATATTCAGTTTAGCAAAAGATTTTGTAGCCTGTGAGATTTATGTATGTATGTGCACGTGCATTTGTGTGTGTGTACACACTCATACACATATATATTTAATAACCTGTGTATTTTTGGTTCTTTAGTTAATCAAGGAAACTTCTTTTCAAATGCAACTAGCCTATATGCCATATAGATAAACATACTATTTGATGGACTTCCTTAAAAACTACATGCCAAGGCACTGTTCTGCATGCCATACGATCTACTGCTGGTTTCTCCTTTAAGACAAAGGTAGTAGCAAGGTACAGTCAAAGGTGATCAGGATTTGGGATCTAAGAACCTGGCTCTGATACTTATTACCTCTGTGACCTTGAACAAGCCACTTAAACTTGTCTAGGCCCCCAAATTCTATTATATGCAAAAATCAAGGTGTCATCCTAGATCATCCCTACAGGATCACAAAATTAGGGCTGGAAGAAACCTCAGACATCAGTTAGTTCAATCCTCTCATTTAAGTGCTAAGGCAGCTGAGGCCCAGAACAGTAACAAGCATCAAAGGTGGGATCTGTGACCAGATCCTCTGAATCCAAATCCAGCACACTTTCCACTGTAACATACTTCCTGAAATCCCTTAACCCTTTAAATTGATGGCTATGACTTCTGTCTTAAAGTCTTCCTATCCTTTAAGAGTTTAGAGTAGTTGGGGGAGGGAAGGAAGGAAGGAGTGAAGAGAGATTTTTATAAGGAACTGAAAGTTCACTTTAAGGTATATGGACAAGAGCAAGCTGTGCTCACCCTCTCTAATCCTTACAACTTATGATGGTCAAGGTCCAAATAAGTTATCAAGTTTATCAGAGCACTCTGCTTTCTCATATACTGCCATTGAAAGTTCCTGGCTAAGTCCAATTTATTACTTTGTGGTGTTTGGTGATCCTTTTCAAGTTTGAAGAGTAGAAATTGTTTTCAGGAATGGAATCATTAATAGTTAACAAGCAGAGGCACATTTGGAAGGGTCAATTACTGGTTTTTATAAAAAGTGTCAAAGACAGTGGTACACTTTGCAACATAAATCATGTTTTCCTTCTCTGTGTGTGTGTGTCATTTATTATGTGCTTCCTCCTCAATTCTACAATTTTAGGTAATTTTTGAGGATTGGGTGAATGTTTTCACCCAAAATTTCATCGGTGGAGGTTAAATGCTATACTGATAGAATATGCTATCCCTGCTTATGAAGCACTGTACTGTATTAATTGTGTGTGTGTGTGTGTGTGTGTGTGGTTCTATTTTAAGCATCTTATATTCTCTTTGGAAAGAAAAAAAAACTATTCTAAAAAGAGAAACACTTGCCCATAGTTTCTTAAATTTTTCAAGGACCTGACTTTCACAGAGATGCAATCCTAGTTTTGTTACAAACCATTATTGATAAAACTGCATACTGAATAATATTTTTCACAAATAATACAGTTAAAAATAGTAACCAAATAAAGTTAATGTCTTGGAATAATTTAATTACTCCATTCTACATGACAGGAATGGCACAATACTCTTCTCAACTATCAACAATTTTAAAAGCCTCAAACCTCAGTCATTTTCTTTAAATGAGAGTCATTTTTTTCCACCTATCAATGTAAATATAAAAGCAAGAAAAAAAAAGGTAATGAAAAACCTACCACAATTACTCAGGCACTTTTCTTGTCTTAAATCTACTCAGTATCTAATGCAGAGAAAAATAGAACTTTGGCCTCTGAATGGAAATATGAAAGCTCTTGAATTTAAATTCAGATATCTGAAATGCATTGGAAAGGAATTGTGTATGATGAAATCAAAGAAATGGAGCCTTTTCTTTAAAAATATATGACTTGTTTATAAGCTGTTCACCTCCAAATATCTGATAAATGAAGTGATCGTATGTGCTAGACTGTTATGCCAGAGTTATGAAGAAATGCTTCCATGTACCTGCAAAAAGAAATTAATGTTGATCCCCTTATCTAACTTTCTTAATATTCTCTTTGTATTGTTATAATTCCTATTAAGAATAATAGAGTCAGTTTGGGGATATATACCACACTTTTGGAATTTACTTACACAGAGTAATATTTATTATATCTAGACAATATGTTAAATAAGTATGCTTAATTTTAAAACAAACATGAAGTATGTAATAGTGAACTATTCTTCCAAAGGATGATATAAACAACCACAAATATATGTACATATCAACTCATTTCCAGAATGAAAACTAGCTACCCACACCATATGGTGACTTTCTACTACTCAGAAAATGCTCAACTGCTTGCACAACCAGATAAGAACGGGGGGGGGGGGGGGGTTTTTTTTTCCACATTTTAGAATAATCTCTCAATCAATCGTCATTCAAATATTAACTATCATTTAGTCTTAAAAGCTGAAAAATGTAAGTCCCTATTTTTTGCCTTATTTTCCCTTTTTGACACTGCATCAAACCAGTTCAAAACACAATACTTCAGTGAAATAATTGAAATGATCTCTACTCCTAAACAATCACTATTTTAAAAATTGAGTTTGTTTTTTTTTTAAATTACAGGAAATGTTTGGTGTATTCTTAAGAACTGAAATGAAAAGACACTGGACCCCAAGAAGCAGCTCATGATTTTCATTTTGTCCTCAACTACTCATAATTTCAGAGGATGTCAGACATGTAAATGTCAGAATGACATTTACACAAAAGTATGGACAATCATTTCCTATTTAAATTATTTTAAAAGGTTTTTTTTTCTAAATAAGGGTATACAGTTCAGTTTTCAAAAACTTCAAGGATGATTGCTGGGTCACTGATCTACAGAAGCTAATTGCTATGCAATTTTTGAACTTAAAAGGAATTTATACATTCTATTAACTACAATCCTGGACAAATATCTCCTCTTACCTATGTGCATAGTTTGCATAGATGTAAAAAAAAATGTTTCAAATCCAATCTTTGGATACATTATCAAATTGTCCTGTAAAACCACATTAACAACTTATCTGTTTCCAAAATCCTACAATTCACAAATGCATGATTACCAAAATGAGTGTCTATTAGCGTCAGCTTATACTTCAATAGGTACTCCCCCCAAAAAAATTCCAACATATTTATAACCTATTGGACAACTTCAGATATCCTCTTTTCACAATAAAACAAACTGCAAACAGTTCCATAATTTTATATTGACGGCACTAATTCAAACAAGCTGTGGAACTGTTTATCTTCGTTCCACCAATGTACCACTGTATAAGGAAAATGGAAGAAATGCAAAGGCCACGTTTTGAAAAGATCGTCCACCACTTAAAACTAAACTTCATTAATTCAAAACATTGCTTCGAAATAAGGGAGGAAGGGAAGTCAATACATTGTAAAGAGTTTGAGAGTGGATGATCAAGTCAGGTGTAGGAAATTTTAAAAGTTGCAACAGCTGTGAGCAACCATCTAGAGATCTTCTCTTTTGCCCTGAATCCATGTTGGTGACTGTTTAAGTGACAAGGTGCTCAGGGTCAGAGAAACTGATGCCCATCTGCAAATCTTTTAGATGTGTCTCTTTTCCTAGCCTCTGTCCCTTCCTGCTGCAAAGACCATTTATTACTGTGCCTCACAGCAGTCCAACTCTCTCCACCCTGCCCCGGTTTCTTCTCCACCGCTGTCTTTCAGACGCGAGAGGAGAGAGTCCTTACCTGTTCTCTAGGTATGCAGGGAAGGGAGGTCCTGCGATGAGACTTGCTGCCGCAGCCGGACATCTCGGCGGAGATCATGGAGCTGGACCGCCTCCTCCTCTTAAACACCGAGACCTCTTCCTTAGTCCCTACAACCAGCTGGGTGCCAAAATCCTCTCTCCGGGCTGCTTCTCTCAATTGGGGAAAGATTTTTTCCGGGTACCTGGCTAGAAGCAGCCCCACCAGCCCGGCTGAGTAAGCCAGGTATGGCCTCCAGGAGACCTTGACCCTCTCTAAAGAAATCAGGGACGCGGTCCTGACCGCACTAATCAAGAAGATCATGAGGACACCCTGTCTCAGCTTCAGCACCAGCCATGTCGCGGCGGCCAAGCAGCTGAGCACCACCCCTGTGGCGGGGAGAGAGAGCAAGTGATCCTCGCGGACTCCCAGTCCGATGTGGACAATTGCTTCCCCCCCGCAGCAGGCGGCCAACAGCGCGAGCGCGAGAGGCAGTCGGACCCCGGAGCGGAGCAAGCACAAGCCCATCCAAAAGAAGGCGCACAGAAAACCGAAGAGCAGCGCCGCGGGCTGCAGCCCAGCGCTGAGCTGCCAGCCTCCGCTCAGAGGACCTCCCCGAGGCAGATTTAAGACGCCCCCTTCAGCTGCTGCTGCTGCTGCTGCTGCTGCTTCCTCCTCCGCCGTTGCGGCCGCCGCCTCCGCCTCCTCCTGACTCTCCTCCAGGTCACAGCTGATCTCGCCTCGGACCAGCCTCACCACGACCGCCAGCAGAAAGGAGAGCGAGCCAGCGCAGAGAGCTGAGGAAAGTTTCCGGGAGCTCCGGAGCTTGTTCAAGACCAAGTCTCCCCAGAGGACCTGACAGCCCGGGTCCCGGGGCGATCTCGAGAGACTAGCAGGGCTCAGGGGCAAATGCTTGGCGTTACAAGAGTAACCGTTGCAATCGGACCCCGGGATCTGATACTCAGCCTCCTTGCCACTGCTGGGTTCATCACTGACAACAGCAACCTCTCCAGTCGGAGCCATGGTTTTAGCCTTATTCACTAAAGCACCAAATGGGGTACCAGCTCCTACTGCCTTAATTTCTTTCTCTTTTAAATCCTCCTCCCCAAATCGCCTTAAGTTGCGGCTCCACAATAAGCAATTACTTGCTACTAAAAGTGGAGGGAGAGGAAGGATGGGGGGTGGGGAAGAGGACGATGCTACCAAAGGGGTTCTTGAAAGTTCAAAGCTGGTATGGGAGAAAACGACCCGACTTTTCTTGAGCTTTTAAACAACCACCCCCCAAAGTCTCTTCCCTCACCCATGCACATTCTCCCGTGTGGATTCTTACTTGAGGTCTTTTAAAACTGTGAAATTCATCCTTCGCGTGGTAGCGGAGGGCTGAAGTCAAAGCAGCAGCAATCGTAGCAGCAGCAATAGAGGGACAAGTCAAAAGTGCTGGTTAATCTCTAGGCCATCTCCTTGCAACTCTCTCTAGTGCTGGCCCCAGCCGTTAGCTGAGCTCCAAAAGCAGATGGAGTCTCTCCGCCGCCCCCCCCCTTCTCTTTCTTCTCCCTGTCCTTTCTCTATCACTCTTTCCTCTGCTGCTCCAGTCCCTTCCAGCACCGCCGCCAGACGAGAATCGCCATTCCCCCGGGCTAAGTAGGAAAGCTGGGTTGTGGGATGAGGGCGGGGGGCGCCAGTTCAGGTCAGTTTAAAAAAAAAAGAAGAAGAAATCGAAAAGTGGATAGAGGAGGGGAGAGAGAGAAGAAAGGGAAGGGGAATGGATGGATGAGAAAATAATTAAGAAGTTGCTAAACCCAATCGCAGAGACAGACCCTTCGAGAGAAAAACAGCAAGAGGGAAGGAGGAAGGGAGAAATGAAAAAAAGGAAGGGAGGGTAAGAGGGAAAATGGGATGTGCTTTTTCGCTTTTTGGTGCAGTGTTGGTCTCGGGGATTTGCAGTTTTGTAAACTAAGCAGATGCAAGCGCCTGAGAAAAGTCACACTTTGATCTAGGCAATCCGTGAGCAAACTAATCCTAAAACAAGAAAGCCAGAAACTGGCGGTCTCTTATTCGCCTTTTTTTTTTTAAGGCAATTCTGAAAAACAGACTTCCTCCCTGTGTTCGCCACTACCCCCGAGGAGGCGCTGCTCCTGGCGTTACTTCTGTATTGCTCTTCATCCCTTGACTGGGACCTACGCAATAAACACGCAGGAGAAGCCACTAAGATGAACTCTCTTCACAACCAAGAAATATTTTAGTTCAGAAACTTGGGATCAAATGACTTGTTTTCCCGTTGTCGTTAACTTTTTAGATGTATTCGGAGGAAGGGAATCTTTGGCTTCCTAAAAGCAGGAAGGGTGCTGGGTAGTCAACTTACTCCCTTCTGACATTTAAAAATTAAGAAACCAACCACAATTTCACTCTTTTGAAAAAGTACCATACATTCATTCACAAATCAGTTTAAATAGCAAAACAAATTCAAGAGGCACTTCTGAATGAACCTACTTGGAAAAAAAATTTAAACAGGAAACCTTTTGTGGTTCTTGTTGGTGTAAATGATGGACAATCTCACAAGTTACAAGTACCACTTTATCATCATTGCTGTCAAGATGAAGGGTTGTTTTCCTAGTTGTTACTTCCTTTCTTTTTGAAATTTTGTCAGTAACAAAACAAAAGAATTCTGAGTCAGGAGTATGCCTTGGTTATTGACTATTGAAAACACGACTAGGTTTTGAGGTTAGACTTTCAGGGAACTTCAAAAGGTTAAGGTGTCTAGAGTAGTTCTAAACAAACATCACTTCCTCCAAAGGGTAGACTGGACCATGTCACCCAAATTCCTGTCACTGTAAAATTATGTTTTTATATTGACAACAAAAAAACTTGTGACAAATCAATTAGTACTGTAATCACATCTGTGATTTAAATGGGTGGCAATGATGTCACACAAAAATAACAAGGTGTTTTAGAAACTAATGGCAAATTCTAAATATAACCAAGTACTGACTTCATCAAAGGTTATGATGATTAACAATTAAGACAACAACACAAATAGACTGCTAAATGGGTGTGTACCAGACCCTCAGTAGTCCCTTCTGCTGCTGGGGCTTTCATTGATAGGCAAAGCAAGGGCACTTACATGCAATTCTAAACCACTCCCATGTTCTTTGACTGAACTCAACCCCACAGAAAAGGATGGTGATAATTAATAAACCACCTTTGCCTAATTAAATTCATATTTCAGGTGAAAGTATTTTTAGTCTATATGATCTGGCTAATTGCTTCAATATCCCACTTTGATATAGATGCATAGTTTTAAAAACAAAAGTGAAATTGAATCTTTAAGATATGATTTTATTGAATGAATGGTTCCCTTATAATCTTTATACTCCTTTTTGCTATTAGTCAGAGCTTTTAATGATATGACACACATATATGTTAGAATCAGTACCATTGCAACTGGTCTCAGCCAGAAATGCAGAACTCATACATCATGTGGAGAACAACCAGGGCATCTAGTCAATGAAGGGAGGTACCATCTGTTTAATAATTAAGGTAACAGGAGAATAATGTGCTTGCCAAAGACAAATGAGCCCCCTATCATGCAAACACATACTTGTAGGTTTCCACTGTATGTGCTTGATTCAGATGACATCCACCTGGAATTTAGTAAGGAAAAAATCAAATAATAGGCATTTTGGCACCCACCAAAATGAAGCCATTCAAATTTTTAGAACATTCCTAGTTGTGGGCAAGTTTGGGGGTTGGTGACAAAAGCATGAAAAGTAGTTATGGACCATAAAATATAAATTTTAAGACACATTTTAAGGTCTGCCATATATAAAAGGAAATACATTAATAGCGATCTAACTGAATTTTTCAGAGACAGAGGATAAACTTCCTGATGTGAGACAGGAAACGTGTCACACCTGAGGCAAATCCTCTCACATGGAAGCATGTACTCCTCAGAAATATTACCCAGGTACTCTATTGCTCCTTTCTCAAGTCCAAAACACTCATCTTTCCACCATTCCTCCTCACTTCTGAACTTCCCTATTACTGTTGAGGGCACTACCATCCTTTCAGTCACAAAGGTTTGCAACCTTGATGTCATTCTTTACTCCTCACTAGCATTCACCCCACATAACCAATTCATTGCCAAATCCACCTTTTGCTGGATTTTCTTTTCCACCTTTACAATATCTCTTCTATATTCCTTCTCATAAAGCCACCACCCCACTTCACTTTCTCATCACCTCTCACCAGCACTACTATTACAACTTCCTAATTGGTCTCCCTACCTCAAGTCTCTCTCTAATAAGTATAGTGCTGATCATGTCAAGGCTTTATTCAGTAAATCCTACTAGCTCCTTATTCCTCCAAGATGAAATATAAATACTTTGGCATTTAAAGCTTTTCCTAGATTGGCCCCATCCTACCTTTCTGGTTTCTTATGTTTGATTTCCCTCCACACATTCTCTGATCCATCTATTCAGGCTTCCTTGCTTTCCTTGCACATAACACTTCCTCCATCTCTATGTCTTCACACTTACTATCCATAGTGCCTGGGATGCTCTGCCTCCTTGTCTCTGCCTCTTAAAATCACTGGCTTCCTTCAAGACTCAGTTCAAACACAGATTCTGCAAAAACAACTTGTCTGATCATTCCCACCCCACCCCCCAACTGCTGCTGGAGCTTTTCCCTCTAAGGTTACCTATGTGCTCTGAATATACCTTGTATGTATCTATTGTTTGCCTGTTATCTTTCCCATTCAAATATAAATTCCTTGCAAATAGATAAAAGTGTAGGCTTTTCATGAAATAGCCTAATAAAAAAAAGTAGCAACAGAATATTCTCTCTATAAACCTCATGCACACTATCCCATAAATATATATATATATATATATATATATCAGTGGGAAGAGTATATACACATAGGTGGTAGGTGAGAGGACACATAGGGGATGTGTTTGGCCAACTCAGATACACAGAACACCTTATGCTTTTCATACTACAAGGCCACAGATGGTTTTGGGTGATATGCTGCTCTGCTGTGCTTATTCCCATATTGTCAGTTTCTGTTTTCTAATTCATGCTGTTATTCTTTTCCCTTTAGCGGGCAGATATACCTTATTCATATTCACAATTATGGTTGTTAATTGATTGTTAATTTCCCTCCATCTTGTCCTCTTATACTTTTTCAGGGAGTTTGCCTATATGATATTATAAGTAAAATAGTCTGTTACCTCTCTTTTGTAAATCTTCTCTTCCAGATTTTTACTTTCTTCCTTTCCTTTTAATCTGCTCTTCACATTCCTCCCTCTAACATTTGAATTTGTTTTACTTATGACTACTTTTACTTATCCTGTCCTCTTTTATATTCCTCTCTACCTTTGTCCTTCCTGCTTCTTATTCCATTTTGAGTCTAATTATTTTTTTAACATTAAAACCTGTGAATGTGTGTGATTGTTCAATCTTCTTTAACCAGCTGAAATGACAGTGAGGTTCATGGGATGCCTATTATTCCCACCCCTGCCTCCGTGACTATGTGCTTTATCTTATGTAGCTCAGTTTTTTATAGGGATTTCCTTCCCCTTTTTCGCCCTTCTTCCCAAGGATAGTCATCTGTCCTTTCCATGTCTGTTCAGGACTATTAAAAAAGAACAAGACCACTCACAAACCCTCTGTCATTTTTACATTCTTCCATGAGATTAAGGTTCTGAAAAGACATTTATTTTTTAAACCCTATTAACGTTTTAAAGTAATTCATCCTGACATATTATCTTTAACTAAACACATATGTGTACCTTCATAGATTTCTCTCGATGCCTGAATTTCCATTTCAAAGTATCTACTTGTTACTGATCTTTTAATAGAGAATGTTTGGAAATCTCTGTTCCATTAAAGTTACATCCCTTCCTAACCCCTCCCCCACTCCTCTATTTAGACTTAGTTTTGCTGGATAAGTTTTCCTTGGTTTTAAGCCTTTAACTCTTGCCATTTTGAACCACATATTTCAAGTTCTCCTGATTTATTTAGTAGCAGCTAAGTCTTGTGTGATCTTTACTGTGATTCTTGTGTTTTTGAACTCTTTCTTTTGACCTCTTTGTAATATTTTTATTTGGTCTACAAGCTCTGAATTTAGCTATGACATTTCTGGGAATTTGCATTTTGAGTTTCTTTCTGGAGGTGACTGGTACATTCTTTCTATTTTCACTTTGCCCTCTGGTTCTAATAATTTTGAGACATTTTCTTTTATAATTTCTTGAAATCTACTATCCAGAGGTTTTATCATGGTTTTCAGAGTAGTCCAATAATTCTAGAGAAGTTCTCTCCTTGACCTGTTTTCCAGGTCAGTTGTTTTTGATATAATATTTCTTACATTTTCTTCTTTTTTTCAAGCTTTTTATTGTGTTTTGGTATTTCTTGTTGTCTTA